AGCAGGGAGTCTGCTTCTTCCTCTGACCCTCCCCCCTCTCATGCTCTCTCTATCTCATTCTCTCTCTCAAATAAATAAATAAAATCTTTAAAAAAATAAAAAATAAATAAACATAAGGACTGCAGGAAAGTGTTAAGGTAGAAAGGGTTAAGTCATTTTTATTTACATGGAAAGCTCCCTTGCAGTGTGGTTTACCCATTAACTCTGTAGGAGAGCTTCCATAGGGTTGGCTATGGAGGACCTGGCACCTTCAGAGGAGGGGTTTTTTTAAGGAAAAAAGACCGAAAGAAAGAAATCTGATAGCCACCTGCAGGGCTTCTGTTATCATTCACCTCATTTCCCTGTAATAAAAGCCACTTCAGCCTCCTAAAACTGGAAGTTGACCCAGAAAGAGAGTCCTGCTAGCTGGCAGCTGCGTGGAGGAGTCGCAGGCCACAGAGGGTGCAAATTTAGTTTGAAAGCACAGGTGTCTGTATTTTCTGAAAATTGTTGGGATTCCAATCGCAAAGCAGGGGTGGGGAGGGGAGGTCGAATCAGTGTAATGCTTGCATCTGTCAACATTATCAATTGTCCTATGGGTCATTTGAGCAATTGGCTAGAATTAAGACCAGGGTGATATTACAAGTAAGCAAAACCGAGGGGGACCACCTGGATATGTACCCGTCTAGAGAAAGTGTGCTTTCCTCTCTTGCAAGCACATTTGCTGTTCGCCCGCAGTGTTCTCTGGCCAACTAGGCTTCAGAATCAGCCGTTGCCATGGTTTCAGTTCAGACCAAAGCAGCAAGAGTAAACAATTCTGAAATGATCAAATACCGCTGACTCTTGATTACATCGAGCCATAGTAGGAGTTACCCCCAAACTGTTTCTATTTGTTCGTGTAAGGTGCTTTTGAATTCATACCTGATAGAGGTATCTTTAATACTATATAGAAATTTATGCTTCCAAAAAAATCAAACCACACTGTAAAGATCTGATTTAAGAGAACATGCTAAGCCACTAGGCGGCTTCTATTAGTCTTTTCATGTCCTCCTCCTAACCTTGGGAAGCAGCTCTCATCGATCCCATTTCACAGATGAGGCATCAAGAGCTCAAGTAACTTTCCTAGAGCCATCGAGGCCAAGCCAGGAGTGGAACCCAAGCTGGCCTAACTCTGGCCTAGGCTCTTTCCACTACCAATATTGTCTCTCCAACCTCAGGGAATCCCCAGGACAGACTGAGGTTTCCAGAAGACAGTAATTTTCTTTCTCCTCACTCATTCACTCATTAAACACTAGTGAACACCAGGGTCCCACCCAGCCCTGTGAAAGAAGCTGCGGACACAGGGACGAAGAAACATCCTCCCTGTCCCAGACGAGCTCTCAGGTTTGGGGGAGAGATATGAAAACACATAACCCCAGTGCAGCTTGAGAAGTGCTAATAATGGAGCACAGGAGTAGGAGTAAAGAGGAGGGGCCCTGACTTTGCCTAGGATGTGATGAGCTGTTGGGGAGGAATCGAGGAAGTCAGTAGGAGAGGTGACATTTGAACTAAACGGTGGAGGATAAATGGGAGATAGTTAGCCGAGTATTCCAAAGAGAGAAAATGCCCCGTGCCAAAGGGCAAAGGAGTCAGGAAGACATGGTGTACAAGGTGGTGATGGTGGGGAGGACGGGAGGAGAAATGGAGCCTCAAGGACGGGCTGGGGCCAGACCAAAATGGCTCTGCAGTAATGAATTTGGATGGACTCTTGTCTCGGATTGCTTTTCAGGAGGGATGCAATGTGATCAAAGGTGAAAAGCACAACACTGACATTCAACAAACCCTCTCCCTTTTATCTAGGGAGCCACGTTATTTGCACCATATTTGGCCATTTCAGCCACATTCGCCTCTGCTCATACGTGGTGTCTTTTTCTAGGTTAACTTTCTGCAGAAGAGAGCATCCATCCTTCAAGAAGAACTGACTACATACCAAGGCAGAAGGTACAGCCCACGCTCCTACGGCCTTCTGATTAGTTTGTATTGTTGGCACCTGTGAGTCCCCCGGGTTGACCGTAGGGTCTTTATTAAAATGCTTACACATAGTATCAAAAAAATACCGATTTTTTTTTTTTTTTTTTTTTTTACTAAATAGCCTGTCTTTGAGAAGCCACCCACCTCTTGTAATCACAGTGCTTAGTACGATCAGAACAGAATGAGAGAATCTGCAGATGCCTGACAAGTCTGGGCCTCACCTGCATCGTCCTGACAAGACATTGTCTTAAAGCCAAGTTGCAGGGTTAAGGAGACCGTCTTTCTTTTAAGATAGCGAGGTGATGCAGTCCTTAGTGTGGTAGCCCACATCTTCAAAGCCCTGTATTCCCTGGAGGTTTGGCACTGTTGCAGATGTTCTCCAGACCAAAATAGATAAATGGCTCGGTGCTGTGGCAACACTGTGACTTTAGTGCCCTCAGCATGCGCTTCTCAAGGATGCCTTTTTAGTCCAGGGTTCCCAGAGACATCACAGACATAGATTATGTTTACCTGCTCTAAGTCAGTCAAACAGCCTCCCTTTTCACGCAGTGAAAGGCCAAAGCACTTACTTGGCATCGGTTTAAAAGTTAAGACCTTGTGAATCATTCACTTTTCGAAAGATTCTCTTACCTGGTGCAGATGGGATTGGATCCTTTCTGGGCATAAATGATGAAATTTTGATACCGAATATCCTTTTTAACCTCTATCCAACTCCTCCCGAGTTAGGACATATTTTATCGTTGACATGCCCATCAGACCTGGAGAAAATCATTAACTGAGATCTTTGATTTTCAGGTAACTGCGCGAAGGCTTACCTGAGTAGCACAGGGCGAGGGCAGTGGATGTCACTGTCTGGGCTGCACTGTGGATTTCTTCCAGCAGGTTTGAAGATTTGGATATTGTAAACTGTGAGATCAATGGCATTTTTTAATACTTAAATGTAATTAAGATCATAAACACGTGCATCACTCATACGCTATGGGGTGGTTTTATTTGTGTCTGCCTAAGTTATTTTTTTTTAACATTCCTTTATTTCGGATTTCCATATTCGCGTGCATTTGAGCGTGTGCTGAGAATTGCTTATATTGGGGAAAGAAGTGATTTCTCATAATATGCCTTGTTGACGCTTTTGTATAGAATTTTACCAGTTGCGTATGATCAAAATCACGTTTGTAGTATCGCATCACAATTTTTAGCATGCTTACATTGTTTTCATGTTTGTGTTCACATATTATTAAAACATTATATTTTGTACTTATCAATTTTATTTCTACTTTTTATTGCACCTCGTTTGCCAAAATAAGTATGGCATATCCACGGTATTTTTCCCTAGAAAATCCTGACAATCTCAAATTGTACTATGGGGAAAAATACCTTATGTCGTGTCAGAGATCACATCCATAAGCAGTTCGTTTATTTAGAATAAAAATCACTGGGTCATCTGATACCAGTTTAAGGAGTTGTCGCGTTGGTCTCGTCTGACCCTGGGACTCCAGAGGCAGAATGGTGTAAGAATTTTATGTAGCAGCTATGGTTCTATTGTTGCTTTCTCTTTTTATGGTGGTTGTTTCATTATCGTATCAATTGATGCTCTTTAAGAAAGCCTAAAAACAGAAGGGTGTGTTCCAAGGCCACGCAACCCAGTGGCAAGTGGTGGCAGATGAGCTGTGATTGGCCCCATTTTCCTCTCTGCGAATATGGTGGTGTTCTCCTGATTGGGTGTTTGTCTCCACCCAACTGACCAATCAGCACATTGCTTCTGATTGGTCGTTGCTGATTGGTCTGTGTTCTATGCTGATTGGTCAGCCCCATTTGCTGAGGAAATTCTGAATTGCAGTGGATGGATGCTCTGTATTCTTTTGACTTCATTGTGGTGTATGCCATGGACCCTTTGAGACGCTCTAAAAATCTGGACTGCGGGCAGGGCCATCATCATCCCGTTTACTGTAACAGGACAGGGCAGAACGTTTCTTTACGCCTTTTCAAAATTCTTGTCTCTTTCCCACGCCCATCTCCGTTGTTTGCTGCCCAAGGATTAATTACCCTTTCTTGTACCGTAACCGAGACCCAAGAGATGATAAGGAAGTAACAGGTTTTACAGGCACTTCCAAAGCCAGGGCCAGGAGCCGCATAGACGCTGCCTTGGCGGCGGCCATCAACAAAAAACCTTGCCTTCCTACTCTAGATCACCTCTGCCTGGTGACGTTTGCCCCCATACCTGCAGGAAGAAAGATCCCTGTCCTTTGAAAGCTCAGGTCTTTCTTGCATTTTCAATAAATTATAGCACTGGCTTGAAGAGTATTCAGGAAAAAGCAAAATCGAAGCAGATGCTATTAAAACCACCTACCAAATGAGGACAGTTGGTACTCAGACTATGATTTAGTGCTCGAAAGGGAAAGATTAAGGCTACATGATTAATTTTTAAGTGCTTCTCTACAGACCGTGAAAAACAGGTTGAAGCTCAACAGATTTCATTAGTAAGGTTATTAGCTGCCTGAAGTGAAAATACTTGGTGAATTGTATTGTCTGCTGGAATTGGAACTCCCACTCAAGAATATTTATTTTCCATGAGTAAATATCAGTAGGTGTTTTGGAAAGTTGCCTGCTATTCTTTCTTTTCCTTATTTCAAGGGTTATGAAATCACAAACACTGGTGAACCTTTGACATTACCCAGATCCTGTTTCCCTTCTGATGGGTGTCGCATACATCTGGGAGTAAGCGTGCTGAAACTTTAGGTCAGTTTGATTGTGTGTGATGGGACTGGATGGCCGACACTAATGTTTTTGTGAATGTCCTCTGATAAAGGAAGAGAAAGAAAAATTGCCTTTGGCATGTTTAAAATCCCTTCCTGAATTGAGCCCTGGGTATATAAATGGCTACTGGGAGATCAAGCAAGTGCTCGGTAAGTGAATTATAAACATTGTGCCTTATTATAAAATCATCTGAGGTTTCATCTCTCTTTTATCTGTTGGAAGATCGATTTTTCACCCCAAGTACTTCATTCAGTTCCATTTCAAGTTGTCATTCTTGGCTCCGGCGGCTGTGTCATCCACCTGTGCGTGCGACCGTCCTCGGGTAGTGGGTGATAAGGCGTGGGGAACGACCCAGCAGAAGGAAAGCCGTGGGCGCGCAGTGTCTTGGGTACGCGTGTTTACCCAGCCATGGGGTCGAGCGCAGGAGAAGGGTTAAGGCGAGGGCCAGCTGTCCATCATCTGCCCATGTCATGGTCTTGTTTGAGTCCTACCACTTCTGTGTCACCGAGCCGCAAGCCCTTTCAGGGGTCTGGACCCCTGATTTTGCAACCTCCCCAGTCAACAATCAGCTCCTCAGAGGGCAGCCATCCAGGGGCACCGAGGAGAAAAATGGCCTGAGGGGGGGGCAACAGAGAATGGGTCTACTTGCTTCAGAGTTTGTACAAAAGAATCGGCTGTGACTCAAGGGAAATTGCCGGATTCAGACGCTATCCTGTAATGTCACCTAGTAACAGTGGATTCCTCAGAAGCAGGCATATGCCTGTCGTTGTGAGCAACCTCATTAAAGGTGTCTGCTGAGAGAGTGCAGACAGGAGAAACTATATGAGTTTGAATTAACAATTAACAGCCCTGTTATTGAAGTGCATCAGCATCCACAGAAGGCAGTGGTGTTTTAGCTTTCGTTCTGAGAGTAAAAAGGAAAGGTAAAACATCAAAAATGGTCAGAGAAAAGTTTCAGAACACAAGGTCATTTTAATTCATAGTTTCCTTAAAAGAGCAGTCTCTTCGGAGCTTTCATATTTTGTGCAGAAAGGTCGTCTCTTTTAAGCCTTGTCATTAAAGACAGTTTGCTCTTTAAAGTGAATTATCAAAGTGTGTAGAAATTGCAAGTTACTGAAACTAAAATGCATGATCAATTTTAAGTCTGCTAACTAAAGCTTACTTAAAATTGGATGTGCTTTTGTCCTAGCGGCCCCTTTGATAAGACCAAAAAAAGATACATGGTTGGTCAATTCAAAGTAGGAGAAGAAGATAATTAGATAAAACCTTTTTTCACCCGTTGAAGTGGTTCTCGGATTTGGAGACTTGACTGGGAAGCTGTGTTATAGGCTGGAATGGTAAAAATCAAATATCCCAGATTTTGACCTGTATTAACATTCTTCCCTGTATTGTTTTAAGAACTGACTCAGACTTCAGATCCAATTATTTACCTCACATGGAGGAAGAGCGATGGAATTTGTAACATAAGACTAAAGGAATTTTTAAAATCTGGATCCTTCACCAACATCTAGGTCAGTTGAAAATTCATTCTTCCAGAGACTTTGGTTTTAAGCAAGGATTTCCATCAGGCAAATGTTTTAAGACCAAAGGCCCAAGTATGTTGCTATAGATCCTGGTGTTCTTAGAAGTGAGCTTAGTCTAGACATCAGGCTAATAAATACCCTTATATCCTCTTTGGGAGTCTACCATTTAAGAGAGGTCTCCTGAAAAACAGCTAGCTGGACACAAAGACTTGATCAGCGAGCAGAAAGACAGGGCTACCTAATAAGAAGCCTGTTATATTTAATTAGCTGAAACATGCTTGTGTAAGTGAAACCACGTCGTCCACACCCCTTTACTTCCACTAGAAAAGAAACTTAGTTCATAGGTGGAGTCTACCAATTAGCTTCGTTTCCCTAGGTAATTCCCTTTACCTCTCTATTACCTCTCTGGGCCTCACTTTGGTCATCTGTAACATGATCAATAATTCCCAAACTCTACCATTTCAAGCTCTAATTCAGCCTTTCTCCTGCTAGTATTCTATCAAGCCCTGTCTTGTATGACTTGTCTTGACATCTCAGATGGCATATTTAGGAAATGTGGCATACTAGATGATCCCCCTCTTGAAGGCTCCCATTTGCGTCGCTCACTCACTCACCCAGTCATCCATGTAACAAACGCTGATTGCCTACCGTGTGCTGGGCGGCACAGTAACCCTCTCCAAAGTTAGTGGCTTCACCATAATTTATCATCTCTCTTGGTGCGGAGGGTTGACCAGGCTCAGCTAGGCTGTTCTCGCTTGGGTTTCAAGTCAAGTGACCATGATGACTCACTCCCAGGGCGGCTGTCAGGAGCCCTTAAGAGCAAGCCCAACGAGAGACCAGATGTGGAAGTCACCAGAAACATAACACGGGAGGGCACAGCATCACTTCTACTGAACTTTGTCAAAGACAGAGCCCACCCAGAGTCGAGGACACAGAGCCTAGCAGCGTCCAAGAACCTGTGGCTGTCTCTAATCTGCCACGCCCTTGGGTAAAAGGAAACCTATCTATCTTTAACTTGGAATCTCTCCTTAAACAATGTGATCCACAGAAGAGTTTTTCCATAGCGCACATATTTTATTGTCTGGCGTTCTGAGAAATATTGACTAGGGCCCAGATCCAGGTGATTGCTAAAAAGTCTCTTCCCGTGAAACATTCTGCTAGTCTCTGTTGTATTTCTCCGATCACAGGTTAATTGGGATTTGGAAATACCACTTGGGAAGCCCTGAGTTGTGAGTATTCACTAAGGCCGTGTCTTCCTCTGTGATTCTTTTGAAAAATGGTAGCAACCACAGGCGAATGTTTCTCTCAACCCTTTAAAGTGAGTAAAGTTTGGGGCTTGGTGTGCATTGTTTACCGTAATTATCTTAGCAAGTGTATTATTATAAAGGTCCACCAAAACACATACCCTGTGCTTAGCGTGGTTTCTCCTTCTTTCGTGGAAATATCAGGCGCATGGAAGGGTGTGGTCTTGATGAGCCTGTGAGGGAAAATTCCCTGAACCACAGAGCACTCAGAAACTACTCAACTAATCATCCAGATAAACAAGTGAATCAGCCTCCTAATTGCCCGTTAGCTTCCTCGCCACTGCTGGGTTATCTCTGTTCATGCCCCTGAGCCCAGCTCCTGGATCTCACCAGCCTGAGCGGGAACCTGGGTGGGGGAGGTGAACGAGGAACCGAAGCCTAGCGGCCATTCCTCTGCCTTCTAACTCCCCATCTCGCTGAGTGCTGCAACTGACAGATTGATCCGACCTGGTGATCAGCGTGTGTTTTGAGAAAACATCAGAAGGCTTGGTTTGCCTGGAGTTCAGCTCTGTTCCGAAAGCAGAGCCTGACAGTTTAAGGGGGAGAGGAAACGAGAAAAGACATGTCTCCCCAGGAAAGAGGAAATATTTTCCTAACAGGGTGGTAGAGAGTCCTGAGAATCTTGCACTTTTTGCAGAAATACCTGGACATCGGCTGAGATTTCTCAGAAGCGGGTTTGCG